GTATAGCACTTAAGTCTTTGGTTAAAATTTGAAAACTAATAATTATGGACCCACTGTGTGCCACAGAAGAATACTGAAAGGTGGGCAAATGCATCCCATTAAAATTTCTGAAATGCTGATGTGTCTATGTCTGTGTCTTAAAAGAGCATCTTTTGTAGACAGCACGTGGTCAGATCTCTTCTTACGCAGCTTGAAAAGTTCCGGGCTGCCATCTTGCTTATGTCAGAGCCATCTTTATCCTCTCATCTGCTGTGTGCTGTCTTCCTCTTTGTCTGCACTACACCTTTAGACACAGAATGCCCCATTCTGTTCCCATGGAGTCAGGGACCTCTTGCAGAGAGGTGCAAATCTTCATCCTATGGCTGGTCTTTCTCTCTGAGAAAATCCCTGCACCACTGCAACAGAGTTTGGGGTTGGGATTCCAGCAGAGGGTGGCAGCCCCTGGTCTTCACGCCTTGCCCCTCCCTGTGTGGAAACCCCTTCCCATGAGCCAGCAGGAGTGGGAGTGATGGGAGCCCCGGGAATTATGGGGAAGTGGGTCTTCTTGGCCACATCTTCCTGGAATATGACTCCTGCAACATGGGGCTGGGAAGGATGAAGCGTGCTAACAGTATTCCCTCCGAGGGTGAAACTAGTCCCAGGCGGGAAGCCTAGGGAGAGGAACGTCCTCTCTGCCTTTCCTTCCTTCCTCTCTTCCTTCTTCTTTCCATCCTTCCCGCCTTCCTTCCTTTTTCTTTCTTTCTCTCTCTCCCTCCCTCCTTCTTTCTTTTCTTTCTTTCTTACTTTCTTTGTCTATCTTTTTGTTGTTTTTTTGAAACAGGGTAGTTTAGCCTGATCGCGATCTCACTATGTAGCCTAGGCTGGCCTGGAACTCATGGCCATTCTCCTGCCTCAGCCTCCTGAGTGCTAGGATTACAGGTATGCAGCATTTTGCACCCAGCTACCTCTGCACTTTGTTTACTGCTCATAGCTGGGGTGGAATTTCCACAGCACTGAGCTGAGGAGCGGTGGGAAAATGAGCAGGCCATGGTTCAAGTGTCACAGATTGGTGCTGTTCTAAATACTGTGCAGTCAATTTTCTTGAATGGATATTTCCTCATTTGTTGTACGCAGTAGCCTTGGGGACAACCCCTAGAGACTTCAAAGGGTTTTTAAAAAACATATTTTCCCCAGCTAATTGTTGTATCACTGGGGAGAAAGACTGCGATGCCTTCCCTGCCACATCCACACCATTCATTACCCTGATGAGCAACTTTTCATCACTCTTACCTTTATTCTCAAGTATAAAATTGTCTTTTAAAAAATGTATTGGTACATTATAGATATACATAATGATGACAGTCATTCATCATGAAAATTTGAACCTGTACATGATACATCTTGATTCTTCTTTTATTCCCAATTCGATTCCCCCTTCAGCCCTGCTCCCCCACCCTTATTTTAAAAATCTTCATTTCCATTTTTTCCTTCTATTCTTTCATTTCTTTGGTCCCTTCCTTCCTTTCCCCTCCCTACTCCCCTGTTCCCCTTCCCATTTGAACATTTTCTTCCCATTTGCCAATATCTATTATATATTTTGGTCCTTATTTACACTTTCAGTTTTCACACTATAGAAACAATGTGGTATCTAAACGTGTGTGTCTGATTAATTTCTCTTAAGAGTATGGTCTCGAGGTGCATCTAGTTAGACAGGACTGTCTCAAGCTTATCCTTCTTTATGGCAGAGTAGTACTCTTTTGGAGTAGAAACCATATCTTCTTTATTCACTGTCAGTTGATGTGCATTTAGGCTGATTTCAAGATTTAGCTATTACAGTCTATGCTGCTATAAGTTTGCATATAATGCCGTGGTAGGATGTTTTTCATTCTTTCAGAAAGATATCGAGAAGGAAGATAGCGGGGTCAAATGGAACCTCCCGTTTTAGTTTTCTGAGGAATCCTCACAGTGATTTCCTCAGTGGTTGCACCAGTCTGCACTCCCACCAGCAATGGAGCAGCGTTCCTTTTTCCTCACAGCTCCACCAGCATTTGTTATTGGTGACTTCTTGACAGCAGCCATTCTTTCTGGGGTGAGGTGGAATCTCAGCATTGTTTTAATTTGCATCCTTGAATGACCAATGATGTTGAACATTTTTTCATATATTTTTTTGTACTTCTTCATCTGAGAAATGTCTTTTAATTTTGGATCCCCATTTTTGATCGGGTCTTTAAATCTGAGGGGGTCTTTTTTTTTGGAGTTCTTTGTATGCTCTACACATTAGTGCTTTGTCTGACAAACAGCTGGCAAGAAAATGTTCCCACACTGTGGCTTCTTCATTCTGTTGGTGGTTTCTTTTGCCATGGTAAAGCCTTTTAATAAGATAAGATCCCAGATGTTGATTATTTGTGATATTTCCTGTGCAATTGGGGTTTTGTTCTTACAGTCTTTGCCTACACCAATGTTTTTAAAAGTTCTATTGTTCTATCTTCCAGCAGATTTAATGTTTCTACTTTAATGTTTAGATCTTTGATCCATTTTTATTTTAGTTTAGTGAATGGTTCTAGTTTCAATCTTTGGCATGTTGAAAGTCAGTTTTTCCAGCACCATTGATTAAAAAGGCTGTTGTTTATCCAGTGAAGGTGGTTGTCTCTTTTGTCAAAGATAAGGTGTGAATGTACTGTACTGTGTAAGGATAAGACTGCTGAATGAGTTTATTCTGGATCTTCTAATCTGTTCCACTGATCTCAGGTCTTTTTTCCCCAATACCATGCTGTTTTTAATCACAATAGCTTTGTAGTATACTTTCAAGTCAGGGATGGTGTGACCCCAGCCTTGCCTTTGTTGCCCAGAAGTGCTTTTACTATTCTAGGTCTCTTCTGATTTCAAATGAATTTTAGGATTATTTTCTCTAATTCTATGATGCTATTGATATTCTGCTCAGGATTGAATTAAATCTATATAACAATTTTAGAAGTATGGTCATTTTTCACTATATTGGTTCTTCCTATCCAAAAGCAAGGGATCTTTTCATTTTCTGATATCCTCTTCAATCTCAGTTTTCAGAGTACTGTAGTTTTCAGTGTAAATGTTTTTTACTTCCTTGGTTAGATTGATTCCTAGGTATTTCTTTTTTTTTTTTTTTAATGCTATTGTGAATGGTGTTGTTTCCTGAGTTTCTCTCTCAGGGAATTTGTTATTTGTGTAGAGAAATGCTATTGATTTTTGAGTGTTGACTTTGTATCCAGCAAGCCAAGCCCAAAGCTTGTATGAGGGAGAAAATTATAAAGATCAGAACAGAAATTAATGGAATTGAGACTAAGAAAATAATACAAAGAATCAATGAATCAAAGAGTTGGTTCTTTGAAAGTTTAAATAAAATTGATAAACGCTTAGCTGCCCTTATCAAAAAAGGAAAGAAAAAAATAAAATTCATGCAATTAGCAATGAAAAGGATGAAATCACAACAGATTCTGTGGAAATCCAGAAGATCATTAATACCTACTTTGTGAACTTGTATTCTAGTAAGATGAAAAGCACAGAAGAAATGGACAGATTCCTAGATATCTATGAATTTCCAAAGCAAAATCAAGAAGATATAAAAATTCTAAACAACCCGATATCAATCAATGAAATTACAGGTACAATTTAAAACCTACCAACAAAGAAAAGCCCAGGTCCTGACAGATTAACTGCTGAATTTTACAAGAAATTTAAAGAAGACCTAATTTTGCTACTTCTCAAACTCCTTAATGAACTTGAAAGGGAAGCAATACTCCCAAATTCATTCCTGGAAGTAAGCATTACCCTGATACCAATATCAGAGAAGAATTCAACCAAAAAGGAGAAGTACAGGCCAATCACCCTAATGAAAATAGATGCAAAAATCCTTAATAAGATACTGGCAAACAGAATGTAGCCAGTCATCAAGAAGATATACATTATGACCAAGTAGGATTCATCCCTGGGATTCGGGGATGGTTCAACATACACAAATCGATAAATGTAATACACTATATTAACAGAGACAAGACCAAAAACCATATGATCCTCTCAAAAGATGCAAAGTCCAACACTTATGCGTGATAAAAACCCTACAGAAAATTGGAATAGTCTTTAGTTCAATCTGATAATAAATCATCTATGACAAACCAACAGCCAACATCATGCTACCCTGAAAACTTTCACTCTAAAAGCAGGAACAAGACAAGGATGTTCACTATCACCATTCTTATTCAATACAGTTCCAGAAACACTAGCCAGAGAAATTAGACAAGAGAAAAAAAAATGAATAGAGATAAGGGAGAAGTTAAATTATCATTATTTACAGATGACATGATATTCTACATAGAAGACTCCCAAAGCTCCACCAAAAGACCTCTAGATTTAACAACCAAATAAAATTGTCTCTTCTATTTTAACATATTTTAATTTTTTGGGTTTTTTTTTGTTGTTGTTTTTTTTTTTTTTGGAGAAAAAGTCTTTAAGAAAAAAATTTAGTTAACAAAATTTTTTTAACAAGTTTCACTTAACAAAATACACCCAAAAGGAAATCACATTACAAAGAAAGCTTTAAGGCCTCACCAATTCCTACAGTGTTAGTATTGTGTCTCAATTCTCAAAGCTAACTCTTTTTAAAAAGCTTAAACTTAACCTAAAATATTTATTTAAATGAAAATATAAACTAGAATGAATAAATATGAGAAATGTTACTCTTTGAATTAGGGAACTAGCACCTTTGAGTTGTCCAAAAAGTACATCTCCCAAGGTGGTTCACGGTTTGGAGCCAAGGATCCAAGTTTCCTTAACATACTTTACTTAATTCAGGAAACACCACTCCAAGTGTACTACCAAATGTTAATCGAGAAAAGCAGAAGGAAGAAAATAGTTTGTTTACTCAACATCACATGATAGAAGGAAAGTTTGCATGAGAAAACACTGAAGAGGTAATCTTTTAATCCAGATTTCACAAACTCATGGTGCAAAATGGGTCCCACAGCTTCCCCTAGTCATAACTGCTCCTCACTACATGTTGGCTGCCTGTGACAATTTGATGGAGGACTTCAACCTCCCTAAATAACTAGTCGTAGCCCCCCATGCTGTTCTGACCGCTGTAGCCAGCCCCATAGCCACTCACTGACTGGCTCTCTAGGCTGCTGTAGATGGCCTGGGCAGCTGACACCGCCATGCCCGGCAACACCTGGCTGCTGTACGCCCCGTTGCTGGCCCCTGTGGTGGAATTGAGGAAGAGTTCTAGACAGCGGTGCTGCATGTTGGCCCTGTCCTTAGACATGGCCGCCACAGCTTCCTCATGGGTAGAGAACTCCACATCGGTCTCACCCGTCACTCTGCCATCAGGCCCAATCTCGATGTGCACTCTCACGGGGTTGAGTGGTGAGAAGAAATTGTAGAGGTCGTTCTCGGTGGCTTTGTAGGGCAGGCTCCACATGTGGACACAGTGGCCGGTGATACTCTGCACTGTGAGCTCACCATCTCCGTATCTGTGGTCGTACATGCCGGAGAGACAGTAGCCGAGGTCTCTCCCAAATGGGTCGGTGGTGAAGCCGAAGCCGTCGCTGAGGCCGCTATACTTCTCGTAGCCCTCATAGCCCGCACTGTAAGCCCCGGATCGCGTCCTCTCTAGTCCTGCCTGCTTCACAATGCCAATATACCTCCGTGCAGTGCCGGGACGGTCACAGGGCCCGGGCCTTGCACAGACATGAACTTCAGGGGTGGGTCTGAGTACAACCTCCCCTCCTCTTGGCTGCTTTTGAACACTTCCATGTACCTGTGCCCGACCCTCTCCTTGTGTTCCCGAGTGCCTTCTCAGCCAGCTCCTGCGAGGCGAACTGCACGAAGGCCTCACCTGTGATCTTGCCCTCGGGGTCCACAGGCAGTGTGATCCTGTTTGGCACGATCTCTTCCTTCGTGCATCCGAATGGGAGTTCCCGGAGCCGCACAAAGCCGTCGTTGGCGGTGTCGGCGCTGTTGGGACCGCTGCGCTTCAACACCCAATCCATCTTGGTTCTGTGAGACTTGAACACCTCGATGTACCGGTGCCCCATGCTTTCCCTGTCCTTTTTCAGGGCCATTTTGACATCATCTTCGGAGTCGAGTTCAACAAAATCCTCACCACTCTGCCTGCCTTCTCTAGTGTAAACGAAATGGACACCTGCCACCCCAACGTGAAGTGTGAAGTCGGAGGGAAAGTTCTGCGCGTCCTCAATTGAGCAGGACCAGGGCAGCCCACGGGGCTTGACCACATAGCCTTCACCTCCCTCAGGGCCCAGCATCGTGAGACTCGGCCGGGCAGTTGCTAGACAAGCTTGGGCGCAGCTGTGCGGCTCCATGATGCAGAACAGACTCCACTCACTGTATCTACAGCAGACCAAAGATGACACAACACCCCCATGCATGCCTGGGCGGGCACTCGGGTCGGTCGATCTGGGGCTCCGAGCCTCCGCGCTCCCATCTCACACCAGCGACTCGGTCGTCCCTCGGAGCACCTTCCTCACGAAGACGCTGCGAGGCGCAGCTTCCACGAGGAGCCAGGAAGGGCGCCTGTTTTGTTTTTTGACGGGGGGGGGCGGGGGGGATCGAACTCGGGTCCTTGCGCTTGCAAGGCAGGCCGCAGAACCACTGAGCTAAATCCCCGGCCCACATTTTTTTTTTTTGTTTAATTTTAGTTTTCAGCCATTTGTCAGTGATATGCCTAGGTATTCATTTCTTTCTATTTTTTGGTTAGGTTTCTTAGATTTGTAAATTGATATCATTATTTCAATTTAAAAATGGAAAATTATTCAGCCAAAATTACTATTCAGTCAAATCTCCTTCTTTTGCCCTATTAATTCTCTCCCTTTCTCGAAAAACATATATTCAGATTGCTTAATATTTTCCTTTAGGCAAGTGAAATTCTGTGCATTTTTTTTTCAAATATTTTTCTCTCTTAAAGTGATTTTGTTCTTGACTTTTCTTCACATGATCTCTTCTCCTGCCATTTCTGAACTGACATTAACCCCATCCAACATTTTTCTAGGTATCACATTTTTAAATTTCAGATTTTTCTTCAGTTCTGAGATGGTATTTTTCAATTCTGAAATTTCCATTTTTTAAATCATTTCATATCTTTCCTGAAATCTCCTTATCTTCATACATTATATCCATCTTTGCCTGTACATTCTCTGACATATTTATATGAGCTTTACACTCATCTGTTAATTCCCACACCTCATTTGCTTCTCCTTTATTTTCTGGAGGTTTTTCTTTTTATTCTGATCACCATTTCTCCTCCTTTGTGTGTTTAATAATTCTGATTGTATGTTGGACATTGCAGAAATCTTAATTTCTGTTATCTACTTGCAGTGAGAATGTATCTGGTTTTGTTGTAGCAGGCAGCTAAATGTCTAGTGGACAGCCTTAATACTGCATAGACTTGTTCCTAGGGTTTGTTAAACAACATATATTTTATTTACTTTTTGGGGGGTCTGTTTTGTTTTGTTCTTTTGGTACTGGAGATCAAATTTGGGTCCTTGCACTTGCGAGGTAGGCGGTAGAACCACTGAGCTAAATCCCCAGCCAGTGCAAGGTATAATTTACTTTTGCCCTCAATCACAAGATATAGTTCATAGTCCTGGTATGTGGTTCTTATATGTAGGATACGATGCTTCTGGCATACAGATGGAGTTCAGGAAGAGATGTCTCCTAAGCCCTTCTAATTTGGTGAGATTTTAACTCCCAACTCTATCTCCTTAGCACAAGGCAACAGCTGAAATCTCCAGTCAACATTTTCAGCCTATCAGTTGTTTTCTAAGGTACCCTTTGGAGTCTTGCTCTGTACATTTGCAACTAAAAAAGCCAGCCAAGGTTTTGAGAAGATTTCGTACATAAATCTGGGACCTTCTTCTCTATTAGTCCTAACCTTCTGGATTCCCTTCCTTCAATTTCCAGTTGCTCTGGAAACCCTGTAATCCAAACTCAAATCTTCAGTTGAATAAATCTTGTGCAGACTTGGAGATGTCTACAGGGGAAAAAGCCAGTGGATTATGTCTCCTACAGTGTGTGCTTGCATTTGGTCCTCTAGGAAAATATACATATATGATTATTAGTAGTAAGTTCATTTTGAAATGAAGTATTTTGTAATTATTTAAAGCCAGAAGCTTTCATACAGACTTTTAAAAGTATAAATGAAGTTACACTGTTCATTAATAATATTTTAAAATAAACACATTTTAGATATTATTCTATGTTAATATATGATAATTGACCTTGTGTCTTTTTTCTGACATATGATCTTCCAAGGATTCAACAACGAGGTTGCAAAAAATTTTTAATAAATAGAGATATGGTTTACGAACTAGACTTCTTTCAACGTTCTTTGAAAGATACTTAATTATTTCTTTTGAATGTACCTCCTTATGAAGAATGGACCACAAGAAGCCAGTTATATTTGGATCTGCAATATTACGAACTTGAATAATCCTCTCTAATGCACCTTATTATTATTTCTGTTACAAGTAATGACACTTTGAATATTATTATATGTTAATTATTTTGGTTTTGCCATAAAATTATTTGGAGGTTGAAATAAATCCACATTAAAATTGAAAATTTCAATGTATATACTGTCATCCCTTGGTATATACAGGGCACTGGTTCCAAGATTCCCATATGGGCACCAAGATCCATAGGTGCTCAAGTTTCTTATATAAAACGATCAGGATTTGCATATAACCTAAGCACATCCTCCCAAGTACTATCTTTAAATCACGGTTTTTTAATGCTTAATCTAATATAATGTGCAAATCATTGTTATACCATTTAAGAAATAATAACTACTTTTTTTGAGTACCCACTAACTGATATAAAGGGATTTTTGCTTGTTTGTTTTGTTTTACATTAGCTATAAAACCAATAGGGAAAAGAGAACTGGGTGAGAGCCATAAAGCATTATGAGTTAGAAAGCAGAAGGAAGAAAGACAAATGACCTAGCAGATCCAGGGCAGCTAGCTCCTGACTGAGCAAACTAAATAGTAGCAGCACATTTTCTAAAATAAAATCCCAAAGTCTTAAAGAATTTCAAGTAACAAGGGCTTATGACTTTGGAGTAAAGAAGACAAAAGTCTAAGAGGCAGCTAACCTCCCCAAGGCCTCTTCCTTACTTTGTATGACCAGGTGAGTAACTCCTTTACCTCGGGAGAAAATGTGGATTTATATTCTGGAGAAAGTGAAAACAGAAGGTCTCCAAGGTGCCTCATGGCAGGCTGAGGGCAGAAATCATTTGAAAACAGTAGGATTAAATATTAAACATTGAGACCTTGCCCTCTTGGTTCTCAGAAAACTGCAGGATGTGAGAAGATTCTCTGAACACATCTTACCAAGAAAAGACTTAAAGATAATGATATCAGGTTACCTGATAATACAACCTGGCCTTAATCACCCTACAAGTGATCTGATGGCCTTCAGGCCCACCTACAATACAGAGGCACATTAAGATTTTTAGTGTCCTAATTTTATTTTTTACTAAAACAAATTTTTATTAGTATATGTTTGCCATACATAATGATTACAAGCATCATGGAGAATTTGCACCTGTATAAGTAAGGGTCATAATTTTAAATAGTCAAGGATCATCACACATCTGGAGAAATCCTCTAATATGAAACACAGAGCAATAAGATTTGAATATGATTTGTTGGGCCGGGGATTTAGCTCAGTGGTTCTGTCACCTGCCTCACAAGCACAAGGACCTGAGTTCAATCTCCGGTACCCCTCCAAAAACAATTTGTCCCCTTTAAAACTAATGTTGGAATCCCCATTGGGAGGTAGTAAGAGGCGGTAAACTTAGTCCAACCAAAGTGTTTAGAGATAGAATCTTTGGAAAAAGTAGGACAAGGTAAGGTCATCAAGATGAAGCCCATTTATAAAGGAAGGAGAGAGAGAGAAGGGGAGGGAGGGAGGGAGAGAGAGAGGCCAGGGAACACCTAACACATGCTTCCTGTCTGTCACATATGATGCCCTGAACCATCTTGGGACTTTGCCACCCAGAAAGTCATCACCAGATGTAGCACCTCAACTTTTAATTTGAGCCACAACAAGCTACTTGGCTTTATAATTTACCTCTAGTATTGCATTACTAGCAACCAAAAATGGAATAAGACACAGATATTTTTAAAAAGAGAGATTAAAGTAATTTAGGGAAAATAAAAATTAGATAAGATTATTAAAAACTATTCATGAGATAAGGGAACATAATGAAAACATGGAGCAACAGGATGTTGTTTTTAAATAGAGCACTTACTCTCACAATAAAGTGTTTTAGAAATTAAACATGGCATAAATTTTAAAATCCAAGCCAAGCATGGTGACTCATGCCTGTAATCCCACCACTTGGGAGACCAAAGCAGGAGGATCACTGTTCAAGGCTGGCCTGAGCTATGTAGAGAGACCCTGTCTTAAAAATAAAAATCTGTAAGAAAAGTTTGATAGAAATTTCAAAGAGTAATAAAATGATAGAAAATAAGAAAGGATATGAAAGTTTATATGCCAAACCAATGAGTCAATATCTAGACAATAAAACTCACAGGATAGGGAAGGATGTTAAATCACTAAAGAAATAACTTAAGAAAATCTTTCAGAAATAAAAGCTATTGTTAGATTTAAAAGGGACCACTAAATGAGCATCAAATGAATAATATATTTATCAAAACGTACCATTGTACATTTGAAGAATGCTAAAGTTAAAGAAAGAAGCCAAAAGTTTCTGCAGAGTCAAAATTGGGTTAGATTCTGACCAAAAAAAGAGCACACAAATCTTCTCAATAGTAATGCTGAGTACTAGAAGAAATTCCTCAGGGGGGAAAATGAATTTTATACCCAGCTATTCTATCAAGTAATATGAAAGGTTTATTAAGCATGCAGGTTCTCAGAAAACATTCCCCTTCTTCAACTTTCTCAGGATGCAACTGGGAGAGCTGCTCCATCAAAATAAGATATTGGGATCTAAGAAAAAGGAATTCCAACACAAAACAGAAGTGGAAAACAATGCCCAACATGATGTTGAAGAAAAAGTTCCAAGATAACAATCAAGAAACAGGCCTAGAAAACAACTTCTCTATCCTGAAGCAAGTTAGAAGACTAAGAAAGATCTAAGATAATAAAATTGATAGAATGTGTAATGTGTATAAACATTTTTGAGAGGCATTTAGGAGTAAATCAATAATAAATAATAACTCATGGGCTGGGGATTTATCTCAGTAGTGCTGCCACCCCGCTTGCAAGTGAAAGATCCTGTTTAATCCCCAGTCCAAAAGAAAAACCCACCCCCCCAAAAAAAACCCTGAAAAATAAACAAGATTTATAATAACTCCAAACTAGGTCAAAAGCTGCGCAAAGAAAAGTAATCATAATTCAACATTTATATTTTCCTATTAATAATGGTCCAACCAAAAGTATGGTATAAATATTGGGATCCTGAAGGATGAAAAGAATGTGTGTATTGGGGGATGGCAGTAAAGTGAGGATGACTCCGTTA